ATTACGGTGCGGCTTGGGTTTATGTTTGGCCTCGTCGTGGAAAGAGTGTCCAACTGACTGGAAGTCATTTGCATCACATTCTCATGCTGTTCACAGAGCTAGCACACTTCTGCGAAAACTAGCTCTTTTAATCCCACAATTTTGGTTGCAGTTTTAAATTGTTGATTTTAGTCACCAGACGATTGCACAATTGCCCCTCTAAACAATCACCATAATTACAGCGCGCGACGCCGGCATATTCGATTTGAGGACGAAATCCGTGACTGCAATGTGTTTATCATCTCCGATAATTCCATGCAACTTAGTCCGAGGTGAAAAACGCATGCTCGATCGAGTAATGCCTTTGCACCAAACTGGGAGAGAGGATAGATAGCAGAGGTTTCCATAGGGGGCTCGCGACAAGCGCATCTAGTGCAATCAGAGGCCTGTGACCTTTAACCTACTCTGACTTCAGCCTATCGCGCGCAACCACACACACACACGCACACACTCATTCATTCACACAGTTTCACACCCTGGAAAACTGAACTGTGGATAACTTACGCCATTTTGTGTCTGTTAATTCATTGCTTGATACTATAAGCACGTGAAAGATGACAGTGTACGAAAGGAATTATTATTCGAACTTATTTGTCCTAATACAGTGCGTTTTAATTGAGTAATTGTATTGTATTGTATTGTGTATAACTTTTGCATTCATTCCCTGTGCATCAACTGTTCACTTAAATAAAAGTATGCATTTGGAACGAATGATATAGGGAGTGGGTTGACTAGGAGTAATGAACACCTTTTAGATCGGTCGATTATCCCCATTATCCCGACTAAATGGGCCTGTTCGGAAAACTCAGGTGCAATATCACTGACAAGCGGTAGGCACTAGCTTATCGGTTCCCCGAGATAATACGTCTATATCGCAAACGAGCGTTCGTACGGAATCCGAACGAGACAATTCACGACACGGAGGACCACCTGCAGAGCAAAAAGGGAGATGCGAAAGCCTGAACAAGCGTGCGAAAAGCAAAAGCAAACACGTGCTGACCAAAGATGTGGCCTTGATGTGGTGAAACAATGAGATGCAAAGGTATATGCAGAATGGGAGTTGGTTAGTCACTATAAGCCAATGTAAGCTCCCTGGACCAATGTTAACGTAAGTCTTATATCGGTCTGATCACTCGCTTGATTATTCGCAATCCCGATTGAGTTGTGCAA